TGGCCTTGAGTAAACGCACCGCCATTCTGTGCCCTTGATTTTCTCATCTGCACAAGGGGATGATGACGGCATCGATGTCGTGGGCTTTTGTGAAGGTTCCATGAGTTGGTCCTTGCAGAGCACCCCAGCAGCGCCACCACCACGCTGCCCAGCCTGGAGTTCACGGTCCACACTGTGGCACAGGCCTGATCCCGGCACTACTGCCCTCCCTGGCTCCTCCCGGCCCACCTGGACCGGCCGCTAAGCTGTTCGGTTCCACAGATCCCTCGCTGTCTTCCGCTGCTGCGCTGGGACGCGTGCTGGTTCTCCCCTGCCCCTTGTACACCCCAGACCCCTATTTCTCTCTCAGAACCCAACTGGCTCATTCCCTCTGCAAGACGTCCCTGCCCCACGTCTCCCTGATCATTACCCCATTCTTTCGTGCTCCTTCTGTCTCGGGTGTCACACTTGTCATGCTCTTGGGTACTCACCAGGCTGTGAGTGCCTCAGAGCAGGGACCATGTCTTACTTTTCCCCAGTCTCTTGAACCAAGCATGGGGCCAGGCTCAGACACGGAGGTGCTTGGGTGCCGGAGGTGCTGCAGACATTGACCGTGTGCAGCTGCCACCTGGGTGCGTCCCAGCTGTGTGCTCCCCACAGAGGACCCTCCCAGCTCTGACCCTTGCCTCTGGGTGATCCTGGTCAGCGAGGTGCCCTTCCCTGAGGCTCATTCCTTTTTATCAGATGAGTCCAGGTGGGCAGGGTGCTCGTGGGCAGTAGAGGAAATCCCGTAAGTAGAAGCTCTGTACCTTTGGGGGCGGGGAGGGGGAGGCTGTGTTCAGAGCCTCGGTTCAGTTGGTTTCTCATCCCTGCAATGTTCTCGTCTTCCAGACGAGGAAAGCAGGGCTCAAGGAAGTCCTGTGCAGGCCCAGGACTGCACAGCAGGCGAACAGAACCAGGAAGCCTGGCGCACAGCCTTCCGGAAGGCAGCATGTGCTGAGGAGGGAGCACAGGATCTGCAATCAGAAAAGGTCCACCACTGGTGGCTGAAAGGCCCGCAGCAGCCACTTGTCCCCTCCAGGCCTCCATCTTCCGGCTTAAAGCGGGCTCCGTCCCAGCCTGCCAGGTTGCTGTGGTGACTCGGCTCCGGGCACAAGAGAGCACCTGGGCTCCCAGCCTGGGTCAGGGCCCTTCCCTTCTTCGCCCTGGGCGAACGGGGAGGCTGCCGAGTGACTGGACTATGTCCTCTTGCTTTCTAGGTGAACTACATCCTGGAATCACGAGCAAGCACTGCCCGGGCTGACTATTTTGCTCAAAAACAAAGAAAACTGAACAGACGTACAAGCTTCAGCTTCCAGAAGGAGAAGAAATCAGGGCAGCAATGACACCGGCCTCCAACCCCAATCTGTCGCCGTAGCTCAGAGCCTGCCTGCCGGGGCCAGGTGGCCCTAGAGCCCACCCCGTGTCCCGCAGTCCTCAGGGGCAGGCCAGCCCCTGGCTCACGGCCACGAGGCTGGGGGGCTCTTGGGGAACGGAGCCGGGGACATCTCCACGGGACCGAAGCCTGAGTGGCAGTGGCTTTGATGAGCAGTGCCAGGGGCCAGAACACAGGCACCCCGCCCAGCCGTCTTCACTGCCCGACGGCCCTGCTGAGGATGTACATAGCCATGCCCAGACATTTCCTTGCAACTTGATCAAATTTCTTAAAACAAACGAAGAACAAAAATGTACATTTCTTTTTTTTTTTTTTTTTCCTTTTAATAAACAGGTGTACTCTTTACCACGGTTGGTATGACGGGCCATTCTTTGGGGCAGAGGATTGATCATGTCATTCTCTTTAAAATCTGTTCCCATATTGAACAAGCAGATTGGAAAAGCTATGGCTCGATTTCTCAGAAGAAATGTTTAGGGCTTAGTCAATAGTTTTAACTATGCCATTTGTTTAAATGAGTGCATTGCTTTGAGGATAGTATCTTACTAAAGTTAGGAAGGGGAGCCGGCGATGTGTGTCCCAGGCTGTGCCCCTTCAGGAGTCACCTCTCGTCTGCTCATCCCCGAACCTCTTGGTTTTGGAGACGCGGGACTGCGTGCAGTTTATGCCCGGGGCGCCGGGAGAATGGGGTGACGGCTGGTCTTCGGGTCACACTGAGCTCCCGGCACAAGCGGGCTTTTCCATTTCTTAAATAGCAAGTGTCTGTTTCAGCTAGCAATTAGACCTGCATGTGGACTTCTCCTGGAACTGGGAGAGTCTCTGCTCTACTGACTCAGAAGGGCCCCCGCTCCCCTTCCTCCTGTCCACACAGTGCCTGCCTCCTTGTCTGAGCAGGCGGGACGCTGCTTTGTCTCACTCTGTCAGGGCGCGGTGAGCAGAGATGGCAGGGCAGAGGGACGCCTGCTCCCCCGGGTCCGACTGCGCGGGTGGGGGGCGGGCAAGGATCGAGCATCGCTGACACCACACCTCTGGCCACACCAGATGCCTCTGCGGTCCTCACCAGCCACTCCAGGGTCCCTCCCAGGGTGACGTCCTTTCGCACGGTCCCCGGCCAGGGTCGAGGACCGGGTGTTTCACCGAGGACCCGCGTTTCAAACAGTTTTTTAAATTGTTGTACAGGAAGAGATGTGACGAAAACAGCATCTCGAAGTCGAGTGTGTTTCTTTGCACTGGGGGCATTTTAATGAATTCCTCTTTCATTCTGATCTTTGTTCAGCCAACAGAAGCATCCTTTTCTAACGTCTTCCATTCCTACCCACCCCAGAAACAAAAGAAATATTATTTGTAGCTTGCTATCTGTATTTGGATTTTTAGCAATTTTATATTTAGATACCTTTGAAAAATGTAAATGACTAATTTGGTCATTAAATCTTGTGACATATTCAATATTAAAACGATATTAAAATAAAAGTCATATAAATACCATCTTTTGCGTATTGCTTTGAATTCTCGAAGTCTCGAGCACATTATCCTGACTTGCGTGCCACTCTGGGGAGGGGCATTCGCGGCAGCTGATGTGCCGAAGGTCTCTGAAATGCACCACGGGCCTCCTCACATACTGAGCAAGACAGGATGACCCTCTTCACTCGGGGGCGACATCGAGATCTTGACCTCCCTCCAGTACGAGACCCACCCCGTTCTCGTATCGCGAAGTATGGCACGCGCGCAGTTTACGTAAAGCTCATCCGTCCAGCTGACGCAAGAATTGAAGGGGGAGCCCTGTAAAACCACCCAGGCTGACCAGATATCAGGACCGTTTAAATTCAGTTTTTCCTCGGCCCCTCTCTCACACCCCACACCTGGATTTTAAGAGAGGACCAGGAGCTCCTCGGGGATACACCTGACAAAGCAGGAGCTCGGCAGAGCCGAGGTAAGGTCCCCCCGGGCCCCACTTGCTCTCCCAGCAGCACCCTGACTTGGCTCCGGGGTGGCTCCGCCCCCACCGCACATGACAGTGCAGGCAGCCCCCACTCCCTGGAGCCCTGGCCTCAGCTGGCCGCTGGGCACCGCACCCCCCCGCCCCCCACCCCGGCCTGTTGGCCTACAGCACACCAGGCGGGCTGTGTGCTGGGCCCCGACCCATATGCCTGGGCCCCTGTAACTCCCACAGCCGACTTGTGGCAGGTCCTGGCATTACCTCCGTTTCAGAGGTGAGGACTTGGGGCGTGGAAGGGTCTCACCTCTCATTGGGACACACCACGACCGACACCCGCAGCCACAGCTGGTGGCTTTGCGGCCTTGAGGTGGGCACTGCCTCCGCGGGGCCTCGGTTTCCTCATCCGTAAATAGAGATGCTGGAGTAGGTGACCTCTGCGGAGCTTTCTAGAGAGTGTCTTACATGTCTCGGAACCAGTGAGCCCAGCCTTCTTTCCGGCGGCTTCTGTTTGCCAAAACTTGCAGGAGCCTTTCTGCTTCTGAACAAGAATTCCGAGAAAGACTCGCGGCCATTTAGTCCATCCTCCTCTCTTGGGGCGGCAAGTGCGTGTGCCCTCCCGGTCTTTGAGCCCCTGCTTGCACACCTCCGCCAGTGGAGCACGCGCCCCCGTGCGGCTCAGTGCTTTTCCTGGTTGGCCCATTTGGTCCCCCTAGGCTGACCTTCTCTAGTGGCCTGCCAGAACCACCCAGCGTGCCTCAGCCTCTGCACTTCAGATCCCTCTTTTCCACCCTGAGCGGCAGCTGCCTCCCAGCACCCCCTACCGCGGCCCCAGGACCGGTGTCCACACTGACCCCCACCCTGAGTCTTCTCTTCATGGTGAAGAAGCTTACCCCCACCCCTGTTGTGCCCCTGAAAACCCGCCAGCTGCTTCCGTTCCCCGGGTCAGATTGCCAAACATCAGCGGTGGGGAGGGGAGCGAGGTTCTGACGAAGCGGTCAAGGCGCTCACGGTCCGGTGAGGCGAGGAGATGGACAAGTGATCCCCAGGCTACCCCGGAGTGGCTGCCATGGAAACTCGGGGGGGACCAGCGGGGGCCTGGAGGCCTGAGGTATGTGGTGCAGCGGCCAGCTCCAGGTGTCACGGGTGTCCTGGGGCTCCCTGAGGGGTAGGTTACACAGCGTGCAGGAGTGTGTCAGGAAGCTGGAACCGTTCCGCACCAACCGGGCTGGGAAGGGCCCGGCGTGATGGCCCCCGGCCCCCTAATCCTCCTTCTGCAGATGCCGTAGCAGGAAGAGTAGCAGAGTCCCTCCCCTGGGAAGTGGCCTCCAGCCTCCCAACCGGCCTCCGTCTTGGCCCCCGATGGCCGATGAGGCCTAAACGCCCCACATCCTGCAGGCACCACCAAGGCCCCACGGGGAGGGCCCTGCTGTTCACAGAGCAGCCCAGGAGGGGGAAAGAGTTAAGCCTGTCATGTTCTGTTCCCACCAAACACCTCTGCTTAAATGCAAAGTCCCAACAGGGTGGTGTTTGCTATAAAAGCCCTAAGAGTGATTTGTGAAGTCTCGAAGCCCTGTAATCTCGTCAGCGTAATGGGATTATATTTCAAATCACCACAGCCTGTTCATTACCCATTTAAACTCCTCTGACAGAGGAAAACTTACATGAAACGTGCACGGCAGCCCTTGCCGACTTCCCCACTCTCCTTCCTGATTAGACAAACAGATGCTGAGGTCTGGAATGAAAAAATAATGTGCCCATTTATTCATTTTTCTGACAAGTCACAATAGATTTTTAACTGCCAATGAGTGACCTCCCGGAGGTGCGGCGGCTGGGGAGGCGCCCGCCGGGCAGCGAGTGGTCATTTCTGCCCGTGCCGGCCCCTGTCCTGGCCGGGATTCCTCCTGGGACCAGAGCTGGCTGCCAGTCTGAGCCGCTCTCCCCACCCCGTTCCTGGCCGACTGCAGGTGCCCTCAGCCAGGGTGGGGAGGGCTGTCTGCTGGGCCTTTCCGCTGTCACCAACCCCAGGGGTTCAGGGGCCTCCTCCAGGACACAGCCGTGGCCTAAAGTCAAAGCCCCAGGTAGGAAGCCCCGGCCTGCCCTTGTCCAGCCAGGTGATTGAGGAGCCTCAGTTTCCCCATCTGTAAAATGGAGAAAGTAGAACTCCTCTCAGGGGTGCCTGGGTGGCTCGGTCAGATAAGTGTCTGACTCTGGATTTTGGCTCAGGTCGTGACCTCACGGTTCGTGAGATCGAGCCCGAGTCGGGGTCTGTGCTGACAGTGCAGAGCCTGCTTGAGATTCTCTCCCTCTCTCTCTCTGCCCCTCACCCACACACATGAGTGCTCTCTTTCTCTCTCTCTCAAAATAAATAAACTTAAAAAAAAATTTTTTTTTTAAATAAACTGCTTAGAGAGAGCTCATCTCAGTGATAAGGGGTCAGTGACCCAGCCTGGGCTGGTATGCACTCAGCTCCCACTCTGGGCTGCCTAGGACAACTGTCCCCAGTCAGCGCCCCCCAGGCTGTGACAAGGACTGAATGGGCCACCAAGTGCGGGGCCCTCCCTTGACCATGACCTCTAGTGTAATAGGCCTTTGGGGACCCTTGCTGGGTCACAGGGTCCCAGAGCAGGTGGGCAGAGGAGCCCCTCTGGCTCTCTGCCCTGTGACGATACCTGGAGCAGGGGTGGGCTGGGGAGAGGCAGCTGTGTCAGGGACCCAGCTCTGCCCGTCCCCGGGGCTCCCCCCTCCTAATTCAGAAGCAGGACACTGCTCCTGAGCTGCGCCACCGGCTGGAGGGAGCCCTATGGCAGTTGCATGAGGCATAAATAAGATAATGTCGCAGGCCTGGTGCACAGTGGGGGATGGGCAGCCATGAGACAAGGGTGCCCAGGTCACATACTCACTGGCAACACCCTGGCCAAGGTCTTCCCGGCCAGCAGGACTTCAGGCCTCAGGGCGTGAACCCAGGCCCCTAGGGAAGGTCTCTGAGCCCCCCCTCCCCGCCCCCCTCTCAGTGCCCACCCGCCCCCTTCCACCCCACGCCCACCCCCCCTGCCTGCCTCTGCAGAGAAACTCCAGACAGAGCTCCCATCTGTATGCATTCCCTCCATGAATACGTAAGAAATACTGTGAGGCTAATTCTTTTTAAAATGATAAAATTCGTCTGTGTTATAGCATTCCAGCCCCCAGCTTCCTGAAAGCTAAAAATATTTTAATGTCATATTCCCATGTAAATTTTAGTTTAGAATTTAATACCCTTTTAACATACATTAAATTTTTAGCATTCTTCAAGCCC